AATCGTCCATCAGTTTAAAGCTTATTTAATTTTATGTAACTGTATTGAATACTCAATCATATTTATGGAATAAGATAGCGCAGTACAAGTGTAAAGTACGAGTTCGCGTGTACTTACGAGCCCGTGTGTCGAATATCGTAAACGGCAGTGTGTATAAACAGAATTATCAACATCGCTAGGAGGAGATTGTAGATGGTACGAATATGTTTGTTCTTGTAGAGGTCAGTCATCAAAGAGTCTCTTGGGAGAAATTGTTTCGAAGGGAGACAATCTCGGTTCACCGGTTTTCTATTAACAAAAACGAAATCCATATTAGAACAATGAAGAAGTTTCATTTATCAATGTAACACAACTGGTGGGCAAAACACAATTGACTTATCAAATACGAAAAATATTTCACGAAGATCAATGAAATAATAAAATAATTCTTATTCATGGGGTCTAAATAGAAAATAATGTTAGAGTGGAAGTATTAATGTTGAATTCATTTTTAATAAATATTATATAATTACGTTCTGTTGCAGTATTTCTCTGATTCGAGAGTCTCTCTCGTCCCATTCGACATTCTGCTGTCCACTTGCTGCCGTACTTCTGATGCCACATTGTCTATTACATTGCTAACAAGTTCCATAACATCCTTTTTCAATTCCTAAAGAAGAACAAACAATGTCTTTTATACCTCGTTTACCCGATTAAAAAATTAATATCGTTTCCGGTTTATGAATCAGTCTATTGCAGATTAAAAAGTTCCAAACTCCTTTTACCAAATTAGTATAATTGAAATAATTAAAACGTCGTGAAATGTTTAGATGTTACATTGTTATAAATAAACAGAATCAATTTGCACCTGCAGTTCTTCCTGCAGACCAGTGCTAATTATGTCACGCATTTTCGTCTGTTTGTCGTCGGTGGCCATTTCTGAAAATAAAGAAGATATTCATTTATTTGTATAGTTTTTTATTAAAATGCGATTGAAATTATGAGAGAAAAATTCTCCGAATAAAATTTCTCTCATAGTTTCAAACACATTCAGATTGATATTTCCATTTTCATCGAAATTCTCAGTCACGCTTCCTCTTTTTCATCTTTCCACGATTTATCTTCTCAACGAAGCGAAGTTATTTCATTTTCCCGAAGTTTCTGAACTCCGTCCAATAATTTACGAATACAAGCGTACAACGTTCGAATTGTTAGAAAATTGATCGACGTTCAACTGAATTAAATTGATTAAAAAAACTTTGAAACGGAGACCAGAATAACTTACTTTACAACAGGGATGTCGTGCCGCGTTGAGCGACGCGCGAACAGCTACTGATCCGCTCCCATTGTACGTATCAAATCGGAAACAGCGAGCACAAACAGACGTTCCAACGCTTATCGAATTTTTCAAACTGATTCGTGGGGACAGCGAGCACAGCTCTTTTACCCCTTTTTCTGGTCTGAGGTACGCCGGCTGCCCCGGTTTTGTCTGATTATGTAATTGCAACGCTAGCTCGCCTATCTATTCGCCTATTCGGCTCGCAACTTTTATTCAATCTGTCACTTGCAAATCGTGAAGTGACACTGACCCTGTGAACTGTTTAAAATGCTACACAAATAGACCAGTTTCTTATACGGTTTGAATATTTATATTGAGGAAATAATATCGAAAAAGGTTGCCCTCTTACACTTATTTCTCATGTTTGTTTGTCTCTATTACTACTTCTTCATAAACAAGAGGATATCAGAAATTGAGTAATAAGAACAAGCTCGTGGAAATGACCAGTGCATTTAAATAAACAAACTGTACAATCGCGACGAACACCATTTTTCTGATGACTGCATTCAACATGCAAAAGTTTATATCAGTATGAAAATGCATATTATGATGTTTAATAGATTAATGGAAATTATTACTAGATTTCATTTTTCAAATTGACAATTTACAAGTTTCATTTTGTATAAATAACCACAGTCTGTCCATATAAAAAAGAAATTAATAATTTGCTGTAAATAGATATCTTCATACAATGAATGAATTGTGCAGTGTGGATCTATCCATCTCTTAGGTCGCGTTGAATTGAAGATAACTGGGCAATAATAGAAATGGTCTTTGTATCTGGCTTTCCTCTAATAAATCATTGATGGAAAAATATTCCGTTAATATTAGTTTAATTCATGAGCATAATATGTACCAGCAGATTGATACTTATTATGATTAAATCACAGAAAATTGTGCATGTATTCATTGAATCGTTATCATTTTTGGCAATGTTATTCATGTACAGTTGATTTTGATGAGACGTTAATCTTTATTATCGTCTACAGTGATAAGTAATTGTTATCTAAAAAAATATTCGATTTCTTTTGTATTAAGTCAGTATCGAGCCAAACGGGTAATACAGATAAATGTAATTATTTAGCGATGATGAAGAGAATGTTCTGCCATCTGTTGGACACAAAGTTATGATCATGGGAAAGAAACTTCTGCGAGGCCATATTGGAGAACGCTAATCTTCAGGAAATACAAAAAGAGACGTGTACTTTTTAAATTATTGTTTCCTTCTTTTGTTAAAATGGAATGCTTAGCTTAAGAAAAAATATAATATAAATACAGGATTCATCATTCTGTTTATAGGAATTATTCACAGTATTATCTACATCTAAGTCGAACATTCTTTGATTATTGAGTTGTATAATTAAGCGAATCAGGCTTGATTGAAAAGATTTAAAAATGTTATTACCCATGTACAATTAGTGATCAATCGTGTTTGGTATTAGTTTTTTATTTTAGCTTAAATTGTATATAAAATATTAGAGACATCAATGCCTCGCGGAGCATGTCCTGCGAAGACAAATACTTCTATAAGTTTAATTCAACACTAAAACTACCAAATCAATAAAAATGACTGGTTTTTAATAGAGAAATGCATGTATAAAAAAAGTCGATAGTTTTAGTGTTAAATAATCAAACTGCTTTTAAAATGAGAAGAAAATTGATGGTTCGTTTCGAACGAATCGTTTCTTCACCAATTGAAAACATTATATATATAAAAATTCATATATTTGATTGATGAAATTCGTATTCTATAATAAAAGTTACAACATATTCAGTGAAGCATTAAAAAGAAAGGAGTAAATGTGAATGAAGTGTTACAGGAAACAGATATTAAAGACTATACGTAGTTTGTTAACCAAAGTAATCGAATTACGTATTTAGATAGGACGGATATCCGTAAATGTTTGTTCATTATTCGAACACGACCTTCTAGATAAATGCAATGCACGGAAACGGCGAAGGCGTTTAGTTCAGGTCGAGTGCAATTTAGACGGACGCCTTCTCGTTGCACGCACAATTAATTACGCCTTAAAACTGTTACCGCAATATGCAAATTCGTCGAGATTTTCCTTAGAACCTGTTTAAGTATTCTCGAAAATGTACTTTAAAAATGATATCTATTTATAAACACTGACTAAGCGACTTCCAACAGGTGATAGTTGCACCGGTTTTAAAACAATTTCTTTAATCTATAGGAATTGCCCTTTTTTTTTTATCATTTTTACATCAATTTGCGCATGTTCAAGTATCAGCACGTATCAGCGACTGATTACAAATCAGATAAGGAAGCATCTTGGCTGCGATGATGATGGGTGAACCGCGCAAGGCCACCTGATAGGGCAACCGGCCATGCACTGCAAGCGAAATCGTTTCACTCATTTCGATTTCTATCGACGCATTTCTTCAACGTCACTCACGATTTCGCAAGATTCTTCTCACGAAACAAACTCGACGAACCTAATCGTTCCTCGATGGTTGGTACACTCGCGCGTTTCCCAATCAGATTTTTCTATGATACTGAATTCTAATAGGCATAAGGCGTTATCAAAATTCAAGAAATGCAATATCATAACTTATGCGAATATTAGTGTATATTTGTGTGACAGAGTATCAGACATTTGATCATTTCTACCGGCAGCGTTTCAATCTTTGGTCCACTGCGACTGGTAAGGAATAGCCTAAACTTCTTAGATTAGGGACGGACGAGATCGGGAAACTTGGTACCAGCGCGATTTCGCAACGGGCTTGAATTCCGAGCAATAGATCGGCCATTGTTACACGTGTCCCGCGTGGCCGGTCACCGAGATTGACATAAAAAAATCGTCGAAGGGACAGTGGCTCTGTCCGGGTTTCGGCGGTCGTTCAGGGGGCGGGCGGGCAAGGAAAAATCGTGAGAGGAAGAGAAAAGGAAGAAAGAAGGAAAGGAAAAGAGATGGACACTCGAGCACCGTGTGTGTCTCGTGAAAGTTATAGTAGCGAGCGGAACGCGAGAGGGGATCCTGAATCGCTTCTGGTACCTCCGGTAGATCGTGGCTAAGCCAGTCGCTCGCTCGCCGCTCACCTAAACGGCTTTCACCTGGCAGATTACGAGGATTCTTGCTCGACGTCTTCGAAACAATTCTCTCGCTCTCTATCCTTCTCTTTTTCTCTCGGGTTCAACCGTTTTCGCATTAGCTGGCGCGTGAATGCGCCACGAAAATCCGCGGCGGTCGGTGGTTCGGCGATCGGCCCGGATCGACAGCGGCATGCCCGTTTGGTGAACGGTTTCGTGTTTGTCCCTTGGTGGAAATAGTGGTTTCCATGCGATCGGGAAGGGTCCTGTGCTCCCCGGGAAGCTCAGCCTTGAGAAAGTGATCCTGTCGGACCGAACGTTCTCCAGTCCGGTCCCTGACAATCCAAAAGAATAAGCTTCTTCGCCGTTTCGTCCAACAGGTACGTGATCTTCCTGTGCTCGTTTTTACCCGTCGATGATGCGCGGAGAAAGTGTGGGATCGGCGTGTTTTCGAGATGAATCGCGCGGCAGCCAAGGATTAAAGTTCTTTGTCCCCTCAGAGAATTTTCGCTTCTTATTTCTTCCTTTTTCTTTCCTTAATCCTGATCGATATTAAAATTTCGAAATTCCGATCTTGCGGCGTGTGAGTGCCGCAACTTTTGCTCACTTACGCCGCGACCCGTTTCTTTCGGGGCAGCCAGTTTCTCTGGCGTGACTGTTGACTTTCTATTGTACATCGAAGGCAACGCGGTTTCGTAATTTCGTGAATGATCCGATCGCTTCCGAGAGGCCTGCCACGCGATGACAGCTGTTTCATTTCGAACCCGGAGCTGGCACTATGTAGCTGAAACCGCTTGGCAAACGCGCACGACGATTTATGGTTGTCGCGGGAACCCGATGAATGGCGAAAAGAATTATGGAAATCATTTTTGCGCCGGGTATACCTCCTGGCTTCGTTGGATCTCGTTAAGTTCATTTTAGACCTTTGGGAAAGATTTATTGCATCCCATAAAAGGGTTACCTTCCTTTGCCTCCCTTTTTACAAGGGTTCGTACAACATAATTATAAAACCATTAGTAGTTAG